CCAGTCCCTGCCGATGAAAAACATCCCCACAGCATGATGCTGCCACCACCATGCTTCACTGTGGGGATGGTGTTCTCGGGGTGATGAGAGGTGTTGGGTTTGCGCCAGACATTGCGTTTTTCTTGATGGCCAAAAAGCTCAATTTTAGTCTCACCTGACCAGAGTACCTTCTTCCATATGTTTGGGGAGTCTCCCACATGCTTATTTTTTTCTTTAAGCAATGGCTTTTTTCTGGCCACTCTTCCGTAAAGCCCAGCTCTGTGGAGTGTACGGCTTAAAGTGGTCCTGTGGACAAATACTCCAATCTCTGCTGTGGAGCTTTGCAGCTCCTTCAGGGTTATCTTTGGTCTCTTTGTTGCCTCTCTGATTAATGCCCTCCTTGCCTGGTCCGTGAGTTTCGGTGTGCAGCCCTCTCTTGGCAGGTTTGTTGTGGTGCCATATTCTTTCAATTTTTTAATAATGGATTTAATGGTGCTCCGTGGGATGATCAAAGTTTCAGATATGTTTTTCCTGATCTGTATTTCTCCACAACTTCGTCCATGACCTGTTTGGAGAGCTCCTTGGTCTTCATGGTGCCGCTTGCTTGGTGGTGCCCCTTTCTTAGTGGTGTTGCAGACTCTGGGGCCTTTCAGAACAGGTGTATATATATACTGAGATCATGTGACAGATCATGTGACACTTAGATTGCACACAGATGGACTTTATTTAACTAATTATGTGACTTCTGAAGGTAATTGGTTGCACCAGATCTTATTTAGGGGCTTCATAGCAAAGGGGGTGAATACATATGCACGCACCACTTTTCCGTTATTTATTTATTTGAATTTTTTGAAACAAGTAATTTTTTTTATTTCACTTCGCCAATTTTGACTATTTTGTGTATGTCCATTACATGAAATCCAAATAAAAATCAATTTAAATTACAGGTTGTAATGCAACAAAATAGGAAAAACGCCAAAGGGGATGAATACTTTTGCAAGGCACTGTAAATAGATAGACCTAAACGTAAAAAAATAAAACAGATGTATTTTACTGGAAACCTGTTACCATGAATGTTATGTACAGGTAACTGCCAAAATAAAGGAAACACCAACATAAAGTGTCTTAATAGGGTGTTCGGCCACCACGAGCCAGAACAGCTTCAATGCACCTTGGCATAGATTCTACAAGTGTCTGGAAATGTATTGGAGGGATGCGACACCATTCTTCCATGAGAAATTCTATAATTTAGTGTTTTGTTGATGGTGGTAGAAAATGCCATCTCAGGTGTCGCTCCAGAATCTCCCATAAGTGTTCAACTGGGTTGAGATCTGGTGACTCAACTCTGACCTCGATGCCAGTTCCACTGCTTTTTTTCATTGTTCCCCTCTAATCAGGAACTGATTTAGACCTGGGACACCAGGTGGGTACAATTAATTATCAGGTAGAACAGAAAACCAGCAGGTTCCGGACCTTATAGGGTAAGAATTGAATACCCTTGGAATATCGTTTACATCGATCAAACCATTCAGTAACCACTCGTGCCCTGTGGATGGGGGCATTGTCATCCTATGGGGGCATAGCCATGGTAATCAAAATAATGGCCTGCCCAGCATTTTTACACATGACCGTAAGCATAATGGGATGTTAATTGCTTAATTAATTCAGGAACCACACTTGTGTGAAGCATCTGCTTTCAATATACTTTGTATCCCTCATTTACTCAAGGGTTTCCATTATTTTGGCAGTTACCTGTATGTTTGTGTAGGCAAACACATAGACATAACCTCAGCTTGCATGCCTGTCTATCAACACAGACCCCCTTTCAGCAGAGTCTCTGGCTCTGTTCCTGACAATGACCACATGCACATACCTCTCTAACATACTGTACACTCACTGGAACATATCTAGCATCACACTGCTTGAGCTGAGAGGATTTCAATGAAGGGCTGTCTGTCTCTTAATTCCAGCTCATTGTCAGATTGCTCCAAACCCTCTGCTTGGCTTCTCAAAAGATCATGAGACAGATATGATCTTCCTGCCAGTCCAGCTGGCACAGAGACAGTGGATCATCATCATTACACAGAGACACAGAGACTCCATATTGGATCTGTATCAGAGTGGCTGGGCAGGACACAGAGACTCCATATTGGATCTGTATCAGAGTGGCTGGGCAGAAGGACACAGAGACTCCATATTGGATCTGTATCAGAGTGGCTGGGCAGAAGGACACAGAGACTCCATTTTGGATCTGTATCAGAGTGGCTGGGCAGAAGGACACAGAGACTCCATATTGGATCTGTATCAGAGTGACTGGGCAGAAGGACACGGAGACTCCATATTGGATCTGTATCAGAGTGGCTGGGCAGAAGGACACAGAGACTCCATATTGGATCTGTATCAGAGTGGCTGGGCAGAAGGACACAGAGACTCCATATTGGATCTGTATCAGAGTGGCTGGGCAGAAGGACACAGAGACTCCATATTGGATCTGTATCAGAGTGGCTGGGCAGAAGGACACAGAGACTCTATATTGGATCTGTATCAGAGTGGCTGGGCAGAAGGACACAGAGACTCCATATTGGATCTGTATCAGAGTGGCTGGGCAGAAGGACACCACTCAGACCCTTTCTTCCTCTTCATCCGTTTGTAAATAATATACTGGCTAATTTCTGTCTCTTCACACAGTGTGAAGCGTAGAAGCTAAGGCAATTACACTCATCTGCATGTGTTAATATGATTAATTAGTGAGTATAAACACTTTCTTATGACAGAAACTACATGGTGAGCCATACACCTGCAAAGTCTCTGATAAAAGACGACGCCTCATGGCAGAGAGGCTTTTTATGAGACCTGCTAATTGGCATCTGAAAATGCTGGGCTAATTAGTGTTATGCAGATGAGGCCTGATTGGTTTGAATGCAAAGTGTAACTTGTGGTGCGGTGGGATTCAGATTGTGCAGAGGTTTTATTTTCTCACTATATAGATATGAAGATAATTGTAATTGTAATCATTTGCATACGTTAATGAATTTGCGTGATGCTTTTCAATCAAACGTGGAATAAATAATTGATGCAGGATCAGCACCTACTATGACAAGTGGGACTTCTGAAATAGCTAAGCGAGCGCATTAAGGTGTAATTTTTATGGCTGCCATGCTCCTAGCAATGGTGTGAAAGTACAGACCTCATTTAAAGCATAGCAGATGCTCTCGACTGCTTCACTGTAGCTTGGGTTTTCTTAAAGCCTTAAAGGAAAACTCCACCCAAAAAATATATTTAGGTATTTGTTTCATTAGCCCGTTGTTGACATAGTGCCAAAAGGTTTTTCTTGTCAGCACTAAAGTTTTCAAAATATGTAACTTCAAAATACAGAAATCATCCCTATATGATGCATCATATGATGCGAAATGTAGCATGATACAAGCAAAACATTTTGGGACTATGTCAACAATGAACTAATGAAACAAATACCAAAAGATAGTTTTGGGGTGGAACTTTCCTTTAATCAATCAGGTCTACAAACCTATGTCTGAATATATAGGCCACGTGCACATATTCATATCTAGTTTTACATTACAAGGGAGTTCAAGCAAGTTAACCAATGCAGATCCTAACAGAAATCAAAGCTCATTCTAGAGAATAACAAAGATCAGCAAAGGGGGATTGGAAAAGCTTTGGCTTGTGTCTTTTAATTGCAAAATGGTAAACAGTAAAAGCATCAGATTGTTGTCATGTTTGTTTTTTTCCTACACACTGGCTGGATGCGGAGGAGCCCCTCCCTTTAATTAGGCTGGCTCCCAGATTAGTCTTTATTAAAGTCAGCCACGGGATATGGCCAAAGTTCAGCCTCCCAGGAGCTGCAGCAGGCAGCAAGCACAGCAGCACAGATACACCACTCATGTTTAATTGCTTCTGTAAACGGTCAGGGCTCTAGCCCTCTAATTCCATTCCTCGGGGTAATCAGGCATGTTTCCACCATACAGGGCTGGAGGGAGCGATGCAGGAACAGTCAGAGAGGAAATGTAACACCAACCGGGTGGTAGCCTACCATGTAATACCACGAGACACATGTCATGCAACCAACCAACTGCACATAGGCTTCAATTACTTCAGTTCACCTCACGTTACAGTAAAATATTTTAATAGCATTTTTTTCTCCATTGGATAATTTCACATATTGAACAGGCATCCAAAATTAAATTGAATGCAACATTTATTAAAGAAATAGAACTCTACAGGGAAACACACAATAACATTATAAAAAAAGAATGTACATTTATCTTCTTCCTTCACTTCAGCCCGATGGTCTAAACATCACAGAGTAACAGATGAGAGGCCATTGAGATGGATTGTGAGTTCATCATCTAAGCGATGGGATATCCCTGACAATAATGATAACCACAGCAATGCCACTGTCAGTGATAGTTTTAGTGGTGTCCATGAGAAAGCTTATTATTGTCTACTTTAATCTTACTGTAGATCCTAGACAGGGTCCAGACTCCTACCTTAATCATTGCAAGATTTGTCCAAAAGCACCAAAGTTCTGGATATGCACACAATTGGGTGTCCTTTACTTACAACATGTAGCCTCAGTCCTGGAATAGTTGATGTGGTCCATGTTGTCTTGGATGGACAGACCAGCACTGCACCACACACGACTCACCATCACTGTGTATCTGTACACTGTCTCAAACATGGATATACACAACACATCTGAAATAGATACTGCAAGCAAAAAGAACCACCTGGTCAAAGAGACAGGGTGGTGGATGGTGATGAGGGTCCGCAACAACAGTATCGGGAGCAGGGTGAGCAAGGATGTCTCCTCTGGAGACAAGGGAAGGACGAAGGCAAACCACACCGCTCTAAGCACTCAGCACACCTACAGACAAGAGCAGGGGGGAATAGAACGTTAGTTGATAGACATACAGTATGTCTGTCAGTAACCTATCATGATGGTAGTGTGTGAAATATGTATGAAAGTGTGAAAAGCCCCATGGTCCTGGTCCTTATTTCACCTTCTGGTCAGGCAGCACAGGGTTGCTCTGCAGTGGGGGCAGGTGGCTGCTGAGCAGTGCACCCCCTGGCCGGTCGTGCTCACAGAAGATGGTGCCGTTGACATAGTGGAAGCGGTCGCCTGGCACCAGTCGGTTTCTACAGGTGGCACATGTGAAACACTAGGGATAAAAGGAAGACACAGGAGTTAGAATCCTCATCCCAAATGTGCCACTCAAGTCCAGGCCTAATCTCTTGTGGACAGACTATGCAAGATTCTAGTTCTGGGTTAACTGAGATTAGTCCAGGCCTAACTAGCGTCGAAACAAACGCTCAACTCTAACATACGGTTCAAGGTAACTTTAGGCCAGTGTCTAGCACTTATTTCAAGTATACATCTATGGGTTTCACACAAACAACTGTTACACATGCACTGATGATGACAGACACTAACAACAGTGAGACATTAACTGCCAGGGGGTCTTACCTTGAGATGATACACATTGCCCTGTGCCCTCATCACCATCTCATTAGCCGGGATGGACTGGCCACAGGCGCTGCATGCCCCACTGTGCCCGAACAACCTGCAGACACAAAGCAGAGCCAGATCAGTCTCAGCCCTAGCCTGGGAGCTAAAGTCTAGATCCTCCCCCTCCTGTCATGTCCTTTCCCCAGAGCCCCATGGGACCTCACCTGATATAGTCGCTCCTACACAGGATCATGCCTCCTTTACTGTAGCAGGTGGTGCCAATGTCGCCCAGATGTGCGTGGCAGCAGGAGCAATTGAGGCAGCGTGTGTGCCAGTAGCGCTCCATGGAGAAAAGCAGGAAGCGGTCAGCGATCTTGCCCCCGCATCCTGCACACGACCTGGGGGGTGACGCCACACCACCACCCACCTGACTGTTCACCATGCTGGGCCCTCAGGAGCTGTTTATCCTGTTAAATAAAAACTATGTTGACATTTCAGCTACATGGCAAAGGTAGCATGCTGTTACAATGACCTCATTGACAACGTCTTCCTCACCCACTATGGTTTTGACTTTGATTTTGGCTATGGTTTTGTTAACAACTTCATTACACTGTTCATCAGCAGTTGTCTAAGACAGGGATTGAAGTGTTAAAAACAACCAGTGTAAAGCCACACAACAACCAATATGATGCATAGCCTAATGCCTCATTCACTCTATCAAAAACTGACCTGACAGCAGTGAGCGCCCAAACAACTACTACTGGAAGGGGTCAGATTATCCAGAAGTCCTAACAGCTGACCACCAAAGCAAGCATGCATGGGCAACATGAAGAATTTTAACTAAGTACAGTGTTTAGTCAACATGCTCATGTTTCACTACTGTACACCTTCAGACAAAGGAATTCCCCACACCCTTACTTTCTGTATGTTCGCTAGTTCAAGAACATGTAGGAAGCTCTTACAGGACAAGCCAGGTAAGCTGTACATTTAGGTTTTAATGATGATGCCCATATTAGGTTGTTGGGTGCAGGCTTTTTGATTCCAAATCATTTGCCTGCATCACAACTCCACAAAAACGTAGGAGGTTCACAAATAATCTGTTCACTGATTGCTAAATGATACTAAAAACTATAATATAGCATTTATAACACGTTTTATGACAATCCACGAAAATAACACCCATTTAACCTGTCATTTTACAGGTATCACAATTAAAAAATACTTGAGTGTGATAATGTAGTCTGAGTATCCAGGTTTCTGCAAATAAAATGCAAGTTTAGTTTATTCACGTTGGATGAAATATTTGGGGAAAACAACTTTGATTTATATTCCACAAGACAAGGGAGCTTTATCTATTCATACAGAACACTGTTCTATGAGTACGGTCCTGGTTACGAATAGTATTATATTATATATATATATATATAGAGTAAATCATAAAGTGAAACACAGAAGAGCGCGAGGATGCCCGTGCAGGAAAACAGAATAGCAGTCTCAAAACAGGAGGCTCTCGGAATGAACTTCGAAACATCATGCAACAGAGAATCAAGATGCGGTAAAGATAGCCTGTATGTAAAACAAATTAATGTGAACATTACGGTTAGTACTGTATTGGTCATAAAAATAGGCAACTTTACACACCACAACGAACAGAGAGATGCTCACCTTGATGTGCGTTCCAGAGTATTCAGACGTGAAGAAGTTTAGTTGTAAAAAAAATATATATAAGAAAAATAAATCCAATGGACGACTGCGGATAGTCTTTCAACAGTAGTTAAACCAAACTGTCACACACTAGCGCTTCTCTGATATTCATATCACACAAATAAAGCGAAACATTTGCGAAACGGGTTAATTAAAACGAATTAAAGCAACGTCAAAAAGGAAAAAGCGCACGTTGTCAAAGATACAATTTGATACAATGTAACTAAATTCGTTTTAAAGAGATGGCATCAAGCATATTTTTTAATCAGTTAGATTTATCATCTATCACTAGTTAGACTCTCAACTATCACTAGCGTCTTTGACAGCTATACTATTTACTGAATTGCACAAGCGGGTAAGCTATTTAATTCGCTTTTTGGTGACGTTTTGAACATGCAGTGTGCGCAGCCAGTCAACTATCAGGGGTGGGGTTACTGTCAAAATGATGTATGTGTTTGTAGCTGCACCTTGTACATTCATATTCTCATTAGATTGAACTAAACTGTAACTGTTTTCAAATATGACAATCCATTCCACAATTCATATGTGCAATTAAAACGCATAGGCTGTCATGAACCACTTCCACTTCCATGCATGATTTAGTCTATTCAGAATCATACAAATTAGACATTTACATTTACTTTTAAGAAAGGTTAGGGGAGATGTGGCAACACATTTATTTGAATATAGGCTTGTGTAGTCTAAATTATGTATACAATATCTCTCTTAATAAATGAAGAACTGGCCGTAAACAATAATGCCTCAAAATAAGACAATCTTAGTATTATAATAGTAGTACATGGTGGTTAAATTGAGCCGGAGCCAGGCTCCTGCACATTCGGTAAAAGGGAGAGCCCTAGCCGTAACCCTAACCCTTACCCTAACCCTCGCTTCATGTCCACACCCCGGCTCAACCCTAACCCTAACATTAACTTCATGTCCACACGCCGGCTCAACCCTAACCCTAGCCGTAACCCTAACCCTAACATTAATAATATAATAATAATATAATATGCCATTTAGCAGACAAAGCGACTTACAGTCATATTAACTTCATGTCCACACCCCGGCTCAACCCTAACCCTAATCCTAACCCTAGCCCTAACCCTAACCATGACCATAAACAGAACTCAGTGGCAGTGTTACAGCTGTTTCAGTCAATTTTTGCTTCGAATTCTATTCAGAATCAAAGTGAGCATTTATGGATTTAAGAATATTTCTGCACTGCTTGCTAAGTGCCAGTAGAGGACAGTGTTTTCTTGTGTTTTAGGCCTACTGTCTCCTCATTAGTGGGCACTGAACAGTGAGAACATCAGCATACTGGAAAACAGTGTTCTGCAGAAAATGTCCACCCAGTGTAGATTTTCCTTTTCCTTTAAATATATGTATGAAAATGTATGCACTCACTAACTGTAAGTCGCTCTGGATAAGAGCGTCTGCTAAATGACTAAAAATGAAGAAAAATGTTTTTTATTAGTTTCTGGGTGAAATCGGATCTGCTAAATTTAGGTGAAATTTGAGGTGCACGGTCGTGGGTGGGGATTTCCCATGCATTCTTGCACACTCCCGTGCATCCCCGAACACTTGCGTGACACGGGAATTTCTGGGATAATAAATTCCCAATTATGCATTAACAAGTTTCTGGAAACTTCATATACATTTTCAACGGCTGCAGGCGTGTGACTCCCTATTTCAAGTGATGGAAGAGAAGCCCAGTGAAAAGAAGCCAACTCTCCTTGTCTGCATATTTATCCTGTTTTCAGGTTTGTAACATTTATAAGGATGGTTTCATTTTCAAAATCTAGAGATAACATGTTTATCCAAACTGTTATGAATTGTCTGGTCATTTTTATGTATAATTTAAGTGTTTTGACCTAGTGAAAAATAAGTGAGCTAAGTTAATGAGAACAAGATGGCGTCTAAGATATAGTGATGGGTGTGTCTTTTAACAGTTTCGCTCAATTAATTCTGATCCACCTAGCAATTACGACACACCCATCACTATTGTAATTGGTTGCACTAATTGCACTGTTTGTCTACATAACCTGGTTCAAGCATTCATGACATTACCCTGAAGAAGGCACAGTGATGCCAAAACGTTGGTGGTTTTTTACCCAATAAATTACTGGGAGGTTATGCATATGGAGTGTGCGACTCTCTTTGTTTTTATAGCTTACAGTTTATTCCCCGTTAGTCAGCACCTCCACACTAAATAATTTTCTCTGGGTGTGCGCCAGCTCATGCTTTTTATTAAACATTGTGTTTTAAACACAAAGAATGTCACAGACTGCAGTACTGAACTGCTGGAACAGTTACATTTTCATTAAACCTGACTCATGTTTAGAGAGTGACATTCCTCTCAGTGAGAATCATTTTTCTCAGAAAAAGGTGTTTGGAATTGTTGCTTATATGACAGTTGTCTTCGGCAGAGGACGCAATGATTGTTTTGGGGAATGTCTTCTGCTCTAGTAAACCTTCCAACCAGGCCCCCACCGCCACTTCCCAGAGGCCCTGTTGATTTCCGACATATTTCCTTTTCCTATGTCACAGCCATGTTGAAACTCACATTTCACTGTGAGGCTGGACAACACCTTCCAGTCTGGTGTCCAGGCCAATGTAAACTCCAGCGCAGCAGGAGGCTATAGCCAAAATAATCACTTTCACAGGGGAGAGAACTGCATACACTCACTGCCTTTATGAGTAATGCTCCTTTCACCGGATGCTCTGCTTTCATATGTTTCAGTTTAAGTCAACTACAGTACATCACAAAGCTTTGTTTAATGTGGACTGGACCTTTAGTTGTTCTATCACACAACCTCCTATAACCTCCTCCCCAGTCCTCATATTGCCATGGCTTTCACTGAAATGCAAGAGCACCTCTTTGACAGCAGTTTTGTCAAATGTTGTCCTGGGACACAAGCTTTAGTGTACAATAAGTCTGAGGATGATAGTCTTTCCCTAAATGTACAACACCAAATAGCCCCACTATACAAACAAAACAGACCATAGTCTTCGGAGAAACGTTGTACAGTCAGATGGGATACAGCCAATAGGAGTTGTGCCTTTAGTGACGACAATGGCAGATAGTACTACCGTCTCTATGGTGATGATGGAATGCCATGTGTGCTCTGTAGATTTTTCTGTCATTTCACCAGTGAACAAAATGTTAGGTTGCAAATTGTAGCCCCTATTCCCAGCCTTATCTCCAACCTAGGGCCGGCCCTAGCCTTTCGGGGGCAATTTTACCACATTTTTCCACAGGGTGGAGAGAAATATTTGAACATTTTACAAAAATTCTACACATTTTCCCATGATTTATGCCATGTTAAAGGAAAAATGTTTCATTAGTCCATTGTTAATATAGTCCTAAAATGTTTTGCATGTCAGCAATCAGGTTTTCAAGATATATAACTTTCAATATACAGAAATACAGTCCGTATGATGCATTTTGCATCATATGAAGCAAAAGCAGCATCATATGATGCAAAATGCACTATACCGGCTGTATTTCTGTATTTTGAAAGTGACTAAGATAATCAATGGGGGCCTCCTGGAGGTCAGGGCCCCTGAGCACGTGCCCTGTGTGCCCAGTCGGTAATTTGTTTAGATAGCTGGCTAGACTAATTTACCAATCTGAAAAATGTTAGCTGACATGGGCTAATTGAGTGACTGCCAGTAACTGACATAATTTCGAAAGTGCACCTTGTATATTATACTATTCTAACTCTCAACAGTAAGTTGACACCCCAACAGAATTCCTAAAAACTTAGTTGGGGCCCCAAGTGGTCGCTTTAGTGGCTATGGGCTGGCCCTGCTCCAACCCTTATCTAACCCTATAGTGTATGCTTGATGTGTCCAAACCTACATTTCTAAACTGATTACATTGAGGACGTGGATAGGTGATACATTGAATACATTAAACAGTAGGCTCATGCTGTGATAACCTCAGAGTTGCCATTTAGTCAACTAGCACACTGGAAGTCAGTCTGTTCTAAGCCAGACAGACAGGTCTGTAAAGAGAGGTGGGATAGACAGGGGAGGAGGTCAGGGTGGGATAGATCGACAGGGGGAGACATAGGAGACGGGGAGGAGGACATGGTGTGAAATTTGGGAGGCTGCTGTGATGTTTGTGCACCAGAAACCAGCCTGTACATTATGTTGAAGGATATGAGTGAACATAAACCTGGCTAGAGCACTGGCCCCAGCCACACTGGAGACCCAACCTGCCTCTTCTCCCCGGCCCTAACCCCAAAACAACAGGCTGGCTTTCAGCACTGCTCCCCTCTCTGGAGTAGTGTACCCCTAGCCTTAAGGTACTTCTACAAGGTAAGTGTCAGACTTACAGTGCATTCAGAAAGTATTCAGATCCCTTCCATTTTTCCACATTTTGTTATGTTACAGCCTTATTCTAAAATTGAATAAATCTTTTTTTTTCTCACAATAACCCATAATGACAAAGCAAAAACAGGTTTTTGGAAATTTTTGCAAATGTATTAAATATAAAAAACTGAAATACCTTATTTACATAAGTATTCAGACCCTTTGCTATGAGACTCGAAATTGAGGTCAGGTGCATCCTGTTTCCATTGATCATCCTTGAGATGTTTCTACAACTTGATTGGAGTCCACCTGTGGTAAATTCAATTGATTGGACATGATTTGAAAAGGCACACACCTGTCTATATAAGGTCCCACAGTTGACAGTGCATGTCAGAGCAAAATCCAAGCCATAAGGTCGAAGGAATTGTCCGTTGAGCTCCGAGGCAGGATTGTATCGAGGCACAGATCTGGGGAAGTGTACCAAAACATTTCTGCAGCATTGAAGGTCCCCACAGTGGCCTCCATCATTCTTAAATGGAAGTAGTTTGGAATCACTAAAACTCTTCCTAAACTGAGCAATCACAGGAGAAGGGCCTTGGTCAGGGAGGTGACCAAGAACCCGATTGTCACTCTGACAGAGCTCCTCTGTGGAGATGGGAGAACCTTCCAGAAGGACAACCATCTCTGCAGCATTCCACCAATCAGGCCTTTATGGTAGAGTTACCAGACGGAAACTCCTCAGTAAAAGGCACATGACAGCCCGCTTGGAGTTTGCCAAAGGGCACCTGAAGGACTCTCAGACCATAAGAAACAAGATTCTCTCATCTGATGAAACCAAGATTGAACTCTTTGGCCTGAATGCCAAGTGTCACATCTGGAGGAATCCTGGCACCATCCCTACCGTGAAGCATGGTGGTGGCAGCATCATGCTGTGGGGATGTTTTTTAGCTGCAGGGACTGGGAGACTAGTCCGGATCTGGGGAAAGATGAATGGAGCAAAGTACAGAGAGATCCTTGATGAAAACCTGCTCCAGAGTGGTCAGGACCTCAGGCTGGGGCGAAGGTTCACCTTCCAACAGGACAACAACCCTAAGCACACAGCCAAGACAACGCAGGAGTGGCTTCGGGACAAGTCTCTGTATGTCCTTGAGTGGCCAAGCCAGAGCCCGGACTTGATCCCGATCTAACATCTCTGGAGAGACCTGAAAATAGCTGTGCAGCGACGCTCCCCATCCAACCTGACAGAGCTTGAGAGGATCTGCAGAGAAGAATGAGAGAAACTCCCCAAATACAGGTGTGCCAAGCTTGTAGTGTCATACCTAAGAAGGCTTGAGGCTGTAATCGCTGCCAAAGGTGCTTCAACAAAGTACTGAGTAAAGGGTCTGAATACTTATGTAAATGTAATATTTCAGTTTTTTTATTTCTAAAAACCTTTTTTTGCTTTGTCATTATGGGGTATTGTGTGTAGATTGATGAGGAAACAATAATTTAATCCATTTTAGAATAAGGCTGTAACGTAACAAAATTTTGAAAAAGTCAGGGGGTCTGAATACTTTCCGAATGTGCTGTATCCCCTTCTGTGAGCCTATCCCAACTCAGGAGAGACTCTTGTTTGCCCCCCCTTACAGCAGCATCCCAGATCAACCACCCTATACTGTCATCTGAATCACCATCCACCTGACGCACCTCTCAGAGAAGCACAAGACAGAGCACGTGTTGAATGTTTTATTTGATGTATCAGAGAATTATTGATACAAATTCAAACAATATATAAATCTTAAAAATATGAAATAAAATCTTCCCTCCAGTACAAGAAAGTCTCCATACTATGAGGCAATAAAAAACACACCCCGAAAAATGAGGTGATCTGCATAAATTGCCACTCAACAAAGAGTGAAGTCTGTACACTATACTCTGTAATATGACACAAATACACACATGTAAACACTCTCTGTTTCTCACCCTTTCATTCTCTCTCACACACACTGAATTTTACAACATGTAATATACAGGTAGAATCATTGATGAATCGGTAGAATTACATCCTGTCCTCATTCTACCATGAATGTATCTGACAAAACACTTCATAAATGTATGGGATTGCCCATGGTCGTCACTCACATACACATTCACTGGCCTCAGTCATTTACACATTTCTATATTATGACAAAAAGTAATATGTCCATCACATAAATGCTTACACGTTCCTTTATTTTTCCCCGCTGTGGTTATAGAGGGACTTGACAATGTTAACAAATAAAAATAATAAATAATAAGGGTAAAAAGCAGACAACCAATAGGATTAATTTACAGTCCAACATGACATCAAGAAAGTGACATCAGGCCATCTATAGTCTGTTGTGCTCAGTGCTGTCCCTTCCTCCACCAGAACAGTTCAGTGGCTGGGTCATCAGCAGGGAAGGGGAACTGGACCTAGCCGCAGAGAGTTGCACCATATAGCTACCCATCTCTCATGTTGGACAACTGGGGTCAACGTGTCAGGAAGCTTAAAGTGCAAGCAAGAATTCTGCCTGGTTGGGAGGAGCGGCCACCTAGCCGAGGCTCTCTCTCCCATAGTCTGGTGCTGGTGAAGGAGGGAGAGGTTGCCAGCCACACTGGTGTCCAGGAAGGGGCTGAAAGGCAGGGCTATCCCTGGTCAGAAGGTGTATGGAAGATGGGGAGAGACTAGCATGCCCTAGCCCTATCCAGTGTGTCGAGGCTGGGGTTGGGCATCCTCCTAATCCTAACTCAGTGCCTGAAGGTGTGGATGTCATTGTGTAGGCTGACAGAAGGCCTTGAGGGGGAGCCATGATTGTGGCAGCTCTTCTTGCAGCTGCAGCGCTGGATCCACATGACATTGCGTGTGAAGCCCTCTCCGTCGGGACAGTGGAAGTGCAGGCGGACGGTGCGGGTCAGTGAAGGGGTGCAGCATCGTCTGTCCGCACAGGAGCCGCAGCTGCGAGGTCGATAGTGCCGTGTCGTGGAGCAGCCAGCAAAGTTGATCCTGATTGGCTCCTGAGGGCGCACTGTACGCTGGCACTTCTTTCCCCTCTGCACAGTCAACAAACACACAGTTAGACAACTGAGCTACATAAACCATAATAAATAGTCATATTGCAAAGGTTCTCATTATCAAAAATGAAATATCAAAATGTTCTATGTGCTCTAATTTTATGCTTCATAATTTCCCACAAACAAATCAGACATTGAGTGGGGTCTCATTGTACCTTGATTGCTGGGGTAAGTTGCAGGTCACATTGGCGGACTTGACACAGTCGTGTCTCTCTGACCAGCCGGCAGTCTGCGTTGTTATTGGTCACCCGGCTTGAGATGCCCATTCCACAGGTAGTGGAACATTCCGTCCAATCAGTGGTCTGCTGGAAGCATCTGGTGCTTAGTGACACCTGGGACCTGGGGAGGGGCACCACCTCTGTGAAAGGAGAGGACCGAGAGCCATGAGAAACATACAAGGTAAAGATTATGGGAAACATACAGGGTTACAATTAAGAGAAACATACAGGGTTACAATAATGAGAAACATACAAGGTTACAATTATGAGAAACATACAGGGTTACAATCATTGGCGGTCAGTGACATTTAAGATGAGGGAGGACTTTTTTTTATTTTTATGAGCATGGCCTTATTTCTATTACAGCATATTGGTTGACTCTCATGCATATTCCATTCATCCAGTTCAATGTAACAGCAATAGGTTTAGGCTACTACATGATACCCACATTTTCCCTATACCCATCATTAGGTTGCTACAACTTAGCCTATGAATGAAAGTTTACAACGCAGGTGCACACAGGTCAAGAGACAGATTTGAGGTGACAGACACTCTTGCCTGCATCTAGCTGATATAGGGTGTAATCATTAGTCCAACAGTTGCAAACGAGAGTTTCTATTAGACAAATTCAGGTATGTTTATCCCCGTTTTGTTCCGTTTGCTTCCCTTTAAGAAACTTTTTCAACAGAATCGACGGAATTAATACACCCCTGATCACGCGTAAACACAGTTAACTTTCATAGCAGCCATGTTGTATTCCTTCTCGCATCCATGCACTCTCCTCCTCTCACCTCTTCTCTTCGCTTGTGGACTTCAATGCACAACACATCAGCTATATGTGACCAGGCGAAATAACCTTTCCAAACCTACACAAAGCATACATAGTTGTCACCATATTAGCTAAAGTAACATCATAGTCAGCGTATCTAATAGAACTAACGTTAACTCGTAAGTAAACCTGCTACAATCGTGAAGTAAAGTTAGTGTACAGTCAGTAAGCAGTTACACCGGCGGGTCCCAGTACGAATAAATGAGTAATACCAAAAGCTTACCCTGACTTGGAAGTGTTCCATTGTTGTGTTGGAAAGTCATAGCCAGCTAGCTAACATAGCATCCCTCTGTTTGAGCAGGGTGTTTCAGTTGGCTAAACTAGCTAGCTGCATTTGCTAGCTAAGTAAGTGAAACTGAAAGTGAAAAAAAATGAGAATCTCTCTCTCTATTTGTCTCTTGCTTCTCCTTCATTTTGGAAGAAATTAATTTGTTCAAAACTGTTCAACTATTGTCTTTCTCTCTATTTGAGTCAACGACTCACCACATTTTATACACTGCAGTGCTAGCTAGCTGTAGTTTATGCTTTCAGTACTAGATTAATTATCTGATCCTTTTATTGGGTGGACAACATTTCAGTTCATGCTGCAAGAGCTCTGATAGGCTGGAGGATGTCCTCCGGAAGTTGTCATAATTACTGTGTAAGTCTATGGAAGGGGGTGAGAACCATGAGCCTCCTAGGTTTGTACTGAAGTCAATGTACCCAGAGGAGGAGTGCTACCCTACAGAGTGCTGTTGAGGCTACTGTAGACCTTCTTTGCAAAATAGTGTGTTTCAATCAGTTATTTGGTGACGTGATTATTATTATTTAGGATAGTTTTATCTAAAAAGGATAACTTTTTAAATATTTTACCATTTTAATTTTTATGAAATTCACTAAGGAGGATGGTCCTCCCCTTCCTCCTCTGAGGAGCCTCCACTGGTTATAATTATGAGAAACATACAGGGTTACAATTATGAGAAACATACAAGGTTAAGATTATGACCAACATAGGTTTATGCCTGGATAGAGTGTGGAAGAATGAGACATTGGGATAGGCTGTTTACTGTACCTCTAATGTTGACTCTAGTGCTGGCCTGATAGCGTGGCTGTGCCTGGAGCTGGTTGTTGATGTGGTTTGGGAGGGGTTGTGGGTTGGGCAGGGCTGCATGTGGAGGTTCCTCTGGGTCTTCACTGATGTGGTTGTTGTCGTCACAGACCCACTCCGCACAGCAGCGGCCCAAGGGCTTTGCCAGCCTTGGCCGGGAGCAGTGCCAGTCGGGCAGGGACACCTGGTGGGGGCAGAGTGGCATGCAGCCCACCACACCGTCCATGCAGCTGCACTGGTGCTGGCAGCTGGGCTGGAAGTCCTCTCCATGCTGGTAGACACGCCCGTTGAACTCACAGGACCGGCCCTTGGCCTCCGCTGGGGAGACACACAGACACATTATCAGCACAGTGGACTTTATACCCCAATGGCAGTGTTACCATGATGCTGAGCATTTGTCAACTATCTACTTTAATGATCAAAATTCTATTATAATTCTGAAATACCCATACCCAACTGCTCAAATCAAATCAACTTTTTTTTTGTCACATGCGCCGAATACAACTGTGAAATGCTTACTTAGAAGCCCTTAACCAACAATGCAGTTTTAAGAAAAATAAGTGATAAGTAAAAAATACAAATAATTAAAGAGCAGCAGTAAAATAACAGTAGCGAGGCTATATACAGGGGGTACCTGTCAATGTGCGGGGGTACAGGTTAGTCGAGGTCATTGAGGTAATATGTACATGTAGGTAGAGTTGAAGTGACTCATTTTCTACTCCCATACTTCTGCATACTCCCATACTGGCCCAACCACCTCTCTCCCGCTGATGTTAGGGGTACTCCTGGTCCTTACCTCGGCACAGGCCTCTCTCGGGGTCTCCCCCAGCCCCCAGGTGGCAGTGCAGGCCCTTGATGTGGTCACAGGGCTGGCTGGGGCTGCAGTCCTGGTTGAACTGCCTGGCACACACCTTACAGCAGCCACAGGTGTCTGTCACCCAGCTAACACCCACTGGGCACAATGGGAGTGTTGGGCCACAAGAGCACTGGGCAGGACAGTCACTCTCCACCTGAGACAGACAGCAGGGTCAGTGTTACAGATGTGTTAGGGTCCGCACAGCAGCAGTAGGGTAGAGGTGCAGGGAATGCATTCCTCAACAGCCTGATCTTTAATATGACTAGTAGTACAGTAGTATACTCTCATACTGGAGTGGCTTTCTTCATTGTAACAAAATACCAAAAATGTTAAACAATTATTTTAGTAAAAAACTAGTTTTTGAAAAACAGAAAATAAAATCGTGCAAAATGTAGAGAGAAAGAGGGAATGGCAAATAAAGCAAAAAGAGGGCAGGCAGGTAAGTATGCATCTTTGAAACTCACCATGACAGCAGCACTGGAGAGGAGAATGAACAGGGTAGAAACGGTCCGTCTCAAACTAACCAGAGAAAACATCCTGATAGCGTACTTTACAAAATTACAATGAGAGGTCGTCAGATGGAGAATAGAAACCTGGTGGCCGTGACGATATACTGTCCAGAGCCTGCACGCGAGTCCAGAGAGGAGAGAAGTTTGTTGGTCTGTCAGTCACCTATTCATTCATCTGAACCTATCCAGAGTTCTGTGTGAGTGCACTAAAAAGGTACACTAGTTTCTTTGCTCTACTGCAGTGTCAGCACAGCTCAGTTAGGGTTAGCTTCACTTCATATAGAGATTCCCTCTGTGGTGCCTGTACTTATAGACACAGGCAGACTGCCCCCTCCCTGTGACATCAGCTCTCCTCTTAAGGAGGAAGGGAACGTGTATGGAGGTGGGATTCAGTGAGTGGAGTAGGAGAGAAAGAAATTGCACCATTGCTACATTGCTATAATGAGAAAGCATGGTTATATTATGAACACAGTACTGTAGGCACTTCATTGCACTGACATCTTACTATTTATATGTCCCTAATGCTATCGCGAAACCACAAGAAAAGCTAATTGCTGGTAAATTCACAATAAGCAAAGCTAAGTGTGGAGTATCTTCAAATAGTATTTGATTTCTTTCAAATAGGTTGAGCTTTTGATTGTGCCTGCCTGAAGTGCCAGATGGGTGTGGTTTGCACTTTCGGGACTATTCCATCTGTCCCATTGTGCCAGGCAAGCTCAATCAAGTGCAGCTAAAGGATTTGAATGAACACAAACACTATTTGAACCCAGGTCTGCAGGGCTCTGGGATTCCCATACTGTGGAGTGACACTGTAGCTCCATTCTGGCATATGAACAGTGTTTGACAATAGGGGTCACCTTAGCTAAGACCGATACTGGAAACAGAAAAACAAGTGCAGGTGTCATGGAAAATATGAGTGGGGAATCCCGCTCTGGCGTAGAACCCACTTTAATAGGGGAAGTGGTGATGCAGATAGCTGAGAAAATCTGTGCGTACAACTCCTCTACCATTCTATTACCTGGCCGGGCTGGCCCCAGCCACCCCACTGAAGCACACTGCCCAGGCCAGGACACGTATCCTGTGTTCCCTCCATCTCTTTCCTAATGGCCACATTCCAGGACCCAAACAAATATTTTCTACAGGTTCCCATGTTCGGTAGGAAAAACTAAACATTCCCATTGTCATCCCAGAGGAATATAAAAAGTGTTTTGTTCGAGGGCAGGAAGGCCCTGCATTAGGCTTTGGCTTTCTCTGTTATGAAACACAGGAAACATAATTTAGCACATTTGATGAGGCCACTGAAAACCTGCAAAGTGAGAGAAAGGAGTGAGTGGTAATATAGACCCTCTCACACCACAGGAGAGGGCAAAGAAAATAAACAGGACCTGTTTCTGTGGATCCTTGCTCAATTTGTCAGACCTGTCCTCACTTAACCCAGTTCACCTTCACAAAACCACAATGACAACACAGCTTCCTCTACGAAGGCAAATCCTAAAAAATGTCAAACAGGATATAAATAATAACAGTTTAGAATAACACACGAATCTCTGAATACGAAACCTCTTCAGAAATGCAAGAATTGCAAAAATGTAAAACCAAAGATAAAAACCGCCATGGATGTGTTGAGAGTTGAGGCAGCAGGAGTCTGTGTGTGTTAAGATCAGTGGGAGCAGGGGGAACCACAGAGAGCAGGTGTTGCTACCTGCCCGCCACTGATGTGGGGACGGAGGAGCACTGTGGAGAGAGGAGGAATGGAGGGAGAGAGAGAGAGAGAGGTGAGCCACACGCAGTGCTTTACGCAAGCACCCAGACACCCAGGTCACTGGGCTGAAACCACCAGGACGCTGGGAATGTTTGAGAGAGAACACCTTGTTGGGGAAGGAGGGGTGGGAGGATTAGGGCAGAAGTCTGGATTCCTGGCATTCCTGGACCACAAAGGCAGGATGTGTGTGCTGGCCATGGGGCATGGGACACTGACGAAGGGGGAGGGGGGCCTGTTTGGCAGCGTCCCCCCTGGCCCTCAGCCAGCGATTGTTTGTCAGCCAGACAAACATTTCCAAAAACAGGGGGGTCAGGAGCCGTGACGATTTATCACTGCAGTCCCCTTGCCATCTACTTAGCCTAGTCTCAACCTACACCACAGTTATCATACAAACCACCCACGATCTGAAGATTCACTCTTATGACTGCACCCTGATCTGCTCTGTCCATATTATATGGCTGCAGTTAGCAGCTTCACTCCTTTGGAGGCCTTTACAGCAGCTTTAGGTCTGGTCTACTCTAAGTCTGAAGATAATGGTCTGTGGACATATTGATATTGTTGGCAACTCTGATGCCAGTAAGTACCCTGCGTAGTGCCAAGAAAGTCCAGTGTTGATGGAAAACTCTGTATCACTGGTGAAGAAGTAGGTAAACAGGAAGTCTATCTGCACAACACTCAGGAATAGTTGTTCTAATGTTCCAACGCCTGACAGTCAGTAATCCAAACAGACCTGCCCTGAACATGTAAATCAGTGTAACTGGGATTGTGGGTGTGGGTGTGTGTGTGTGCGTGTTCCATATCGGATAATGGCAAACAGACAATTTCTTTGAAGTCAACTCTATCAGACTGGTTTACTGTAGCTATTTCCTTCACTAAAAGACAATTTAAAAAATAAACTATTACATAACTATCTGACAAGTATGTGATTTGCATTCTGAGTAATAGCATATGACCGTGGGAGCAGCCTCACATGTATTTGGGTAAACATATACCCTGTGTGGAGTCAGCTGTGTGTGTGTGGTGCACCCTAACCCAGCCCATGAAACAACCTCTATAGGTCAGGCCACTGGATTCCTCATACTAGTGTCCTAAAAACCTTGGCTGGTACACTCACACACTCAATCATAAGTAACCCTTAAAAGCATCCCTTCCAAAAGTGCCTGTTTGTTTGCTAAATGCCCATAGGGGTACATCTATGAGAGAGAATACTAATTACACAACAAATAAATATGTTACATTTTGCACATTCCTTTAAGGCAGTTGAGCAAGACAGCGGTGAAAAGGATGATGTCATGGGCCCCGGCCTTGGGGCGTATAGATCCTCATGACTGGCGGTAGACATCTGTGCATCTTCCCTCCAGTAGGGCGACAGGTAGCCTAGTGGTTAAGAGCATTGGGCCGGTAACTGAAAGGTCACTGGTTCGAATCCCCAAGCCTACTAGGTGAAAAATCTGTTAATGTGCCCTTGAGCAAGGCACTTGACCCTAATTGCTCCTGTAAGTCGCTCTGGATAAGAGCGTCTGCTAAATGACTAAAATGTAAATGTACGCTCCTCCATGAGGAGCCTGATAATTAGACCTGTGCTAGCCTAATACATGCGTGGCTGTCCTGCACCCATTAAGACACAAATGGGCCTCATTTAACCTGGCGGCTGCCCAAGCAGGAGCGCAGAGGGAACCTGTAGTCTGTGCATTCCTTCACCCAGCCTAATAGGAGTGATGAAAGCAGCCAGAGACCCCCTGAGCAGAGCTCTCCACAGCACTGCAATAACCTGTCCATTGTGTGGCTGACTGACATGAGCAGGTGTGCTACAGAGAGACAGACCCCCCCCCCCCCTTCTCTGAGAGAAGAGAGGTATGCATGCCCACTGTAATCATGCTGTAAGCCGAAACTATTGCTGAATCATCTCATATTGTGAAGCACACCCACCTACACAAGGTTATGAGTTGTGGAGTACTTGCATGACAGCCAGGCACAAGTGCAATGCATAGAAAATAAAATGAAATAGAATCCCAGGACAAGACTACTAGACTGTGACAAGGGATTGATTATACACCATTTACTGTAATAATGTCTGAATCCAGACCACCTATACAGTCCATTTCAAAATGAAGCCTCTCTTTTACTGTAGCCTACCTAATCAACTGTGGCAACTAGATTACGAACATTCACAAAATACTTCTCAGAATTCAAAACTAAAATTTAATCAGACAAACAGATGGGCCACAGCAACCGTACCTACTGATGCTGCTTTTTGCTCCAGTGAATCTGAGGTTTCTTAAGCTGCACACTGCATATTAAGTCAAATCAAATCAAATGTTATTTGTCACATGCTTTGTAAACAACAGGTGTAGACTAACAGTGAAATGCTTACTTACGAGCCTTTCCCAACAATGCAGATAGAAAGAAAATAGAGAAATAATAGAAAAGTAATAACACAGAATAGTAAAAGTAATAATAAATACACAATGAGTAACGATAATTGGCTATATACAGTGCCTTCGGAAAGTATTCAGACCCCTTGACTTTTTCGACATTTTGTTACGTTACAGCATTATTCTAAAATGGATTAAATAAAAACATTTCCTCAGCAATCTACACACAATACCCCATCATGAAAAAGCGAAAAAAGGTTTTTAGAAATGTTTGCTAATTTATTAAAAAATAAAAACAGAAATACCTTAGTTACAGAAGTATTCAGACCCTTTGCTATGAGACTCGAAATTGAGCTCAGGTGCATCCTGTTTCCATTGATCATCCTTGAGATATTTCTACAACTTGATTGGAGTCCACCTGTGGTAAATTCAATTGATTGGACATGATTTGGAAAGGCACACACCTGTCTATATAAAGGTCCCACAGTTGACAGTGCATGTCAGAGCAAAAACCAAGCCATGAGGTTGAACAAATAGTCCATAGAGCTCCGAGACAGGATTGTGTCGAGGCACAGATCTGGGGAAGGGTACCAAAACATTCCTGCAGCATTGAAGGTCCCCAAGAACACAGTGGCCTCCATCATTCTTAAATGGAAGACGTTTGGAACCACCAAGACTCTTCCTAGAGCTGGCCGCCCGGCCAAACGGAGCAATCAGGGGAGAAGGACCTTGGTCAGGGAGGTGACCAAGAACCCGATGGTCACTCTGACAGAGCTCTAGAGTTCCTCTGTGGAGATGGGAGAAACTTCCAGAAGGACAACCATCTCTGCATCACTCCACCAATCAGGACTTTATGGCAGAGTGGCCAGATGGAAGCCACTCCTCAGTAAAAGGTGGATGACAGCCTGCTTGCAGTTTGCCAAAAGGCACCTAAAGACTCTCAGAGCATGAGAAACAAGATTCTCTGGTCTGATGAAACCAAGATTGAACTCTTTGGCTTGAATGCCAAGCATCACGTCTGGAGGAAACCTGGCACCATCCTTACGGTGAAGCATGGTGGTGGCTGCATCATGCTGTGGGGGTGTTTTTCAGCGGCAGGGACTGGGAGACTAGTCAGGATTGAGGGAAAGATGAACGGAGCTAGGTGCATAGAGATCCTTGATGAAAACCGGCTCCAGAGCGCTCAGGACCTCATACTGGGGGCGAAGGTTCACCTTCCAACAGGACAAAGACCCTAAGCACACAGCCAAGACAACGCAGGAGTGGCTTTGGGACAAGTCTCTGAATGTCCTTGAGTGGCCCAGCCAGAGCCCGGACTTGAACCTGATCGAACATCTCTGGAGAGACCTGAAAATAGCTGTGCAGCAACGCTTCCCATCCAACCTGACAGAGCTTGAGAGGATCTGCAGAGAAGAATGGGAGAAACTCCCCAAATACAGTTGTGCCAAGCTTGTAGCGTCACACCCAAGAAGACTCAAGGCTGTAATTGCTGCCAAAGGTGCTTCAACAAAGTACTGAGTAAAGGGTCTGAATACGTATGTAAATGTGATATTTCCAGTTTTTTTGTTTTTGTTTTGTAAAAACCTGTTTTTGCTTTGTCATTATGGGGTATTGTGTGTAGGTTGATGAGGGGGGGGAAAACAATTTAATCCATTTTAGAATAAGGCTGTAACGTAACAAAATGTGGAAAAAGTCAAGGGGTTTGAATACTTTCCGAAGGCACTGTAACTAGGAATAAAGTGACTAGGCAACAGGATAGATAATAAACAGTAGTAGCAGCGTATGTGATGAGTCAAAAAAGTTAGTGCAAAAAGGGTCAATGAAGATAGTTAAGTAGTTAACCAAAGAAATACCCGGACTAACTATTTAGCAGTCTTATGGCTTGGGGGTAGAAGCTGTTCAGGGTCCTGTTGGTTCCAGACTTGGTGCATCGGAACAGCTTGACGTGCGTTAGTA